ATACCACAGTTCGTCGGGTATTCGGATATATGAAACCACAGTTACCACAGTCCGTTGGGTAACTGGAACCAAATAAATAAAAACTAGTTTAACCACTATAATAAAGAGATTTAATTAATCTTATAGTAAGGATATTATGGTCTAGCTCAGTCCGGCCTTAGTTCTAAAAACTCGATTCTAGTAGAAAACCATAAATCATAAAACTAGACATTTAACTAGTTATATATAAAGAGTAAACCCATGCACATTATATAATATATTAAAATATTATAGATTTATTAATTTATTGTACAATATACTGTATACAATATAATACAAAATTTAAGCTTGTGAATTATCATCGAAACTCGAATCATCAGTAGTATTTTTGAATTCAATCTCATTTATAATAAATTCCACAAAACAGAAAAGTAAAATAATCCAAATTAATCCATCAGCAATAGAATAAATAGTTTGTGTATTTTCTAAAATGTAACAATTAACTAAAGCTGTGCCAAAATATTAAAAACGCAGAAACTAGCTCTAATATTAAATTGATATCTGATAATTTTGAAAATAAATATCAACATGAAATATCATCAGATGATTCGCATTTATAAAAACGTAAAAGAACCAATAATGTCGATGAATCTACAGATGATTCTCTAGAGGGAGGTAAATAAATAAGAAAAAACGGAGAACAGTATTAACAAATGCTTAAAGAAATCATACAATGATCAAAAGAACATGTGATACATGGTTCAATTCGTAAAAATAAAGAATTACGTGATTCTAAAATAGATGATAATGAAGACAAAGATCTATAAATAGTAAGTTTAAGTCTTTTAAATTTCATATAAATAAATAATGTAACTTTTAGAATCAATACAAAATTTAAATAAAAAAATAAATGTACAATATCTTCACACAATATACTGTATTTCATTCTAAGTTTTATTATATTCGCAAAAAAATTTGTATAAATAATAAATTATGTTGTTTATTAATTAATAAAGTCAGTGTAATCTAATCAAATTCACATAAACTTATCACAGAAATATCTTTGTTTCCAGTCATAATCATTTCACCGACACTTACTCTGTAGATACAAAACTTCACCACCAATCTTATTTTATAAGCATTTAAATCACTGACGATTTATTTACCAAAATGTTCATTTTGCCAATACTTGCTATTTCTTATAGAATGCGAGTTAGTATGCGCACAGTCAAGGAGTGGTCCTGTGATTTCTGAGAAATTTCTGTCTGTCTCGGAGATTGTTGAACAAAATATAAAAAAAAAATTTTTTTTTAAATATAAAAAAAATTATTAATCCGGTTTTTTTTAATATAAACCGAGTTTTATATTGGTTAAATATTTTTATAATAAAACGAGTACACGAACAAAGTATCATTTTTTTTTGACAAATATTCTATCTAACGATAATGTACGTATATTTTACAGTGTCACGACGAAAATTGATGTTAATAAATGGCAAAGTTAAAACTTTTTTATTAAAAATCGTATAGTGCAGACAACTAGTCCAAACTAATAAAATGATGTGGCCAAATTTGAAATTTCATTTTTATATAAATGATGTGGCCAAATTTGAAATTTTGCTAAATTTAATATATAAAGTGGTCAAATTTAAATTTAAAATCTATAAGATAACCAAATTTAATATTTTAAGTGGCCAAATTTAAGTTTTTTTTTCATATGTAAAAAGTGGCCAAATTTAAAAATTTAATATAAAACTACTCTAATTTTGAACCTTTATTATAACTTTGTTAAAAAATTTTTTAGAAAAAATTTAATATCACGAGTTTTTTTAAAAAATTTTTTAAATGTTTATTCTTTTTTTTTGAATGAGGAGTAGTAATTTAAAATTTTGTATATTTATTTATTGAGACTAGGTTTTCAAACTGTACTACAATTATTCATGAGAAAATAATATGGCTAAGTTAGTAAAACATCGTAGATAAACAATTTTGTCAAGTGACACTGAATATTTTGTTACATTTACGCAAAAGTATTACACAATGATAGTAACAATGATTTTTTAATGAATATAAAAAATTTATAAAAGTCATTACTTTACCTGTTTAAAATTTTTTTGAAAGCTGGTCTTCTTAAAAAATGACAGATTCACCAAGAACAAGTACAGGTTATGATGATATGTACTCAGACATCATAAAAAACAACAACTATTATGAAGATGTAACTCACAATCAAACACCACAAGCGTCAGATGCAATACCGATACCAAGTCCTATTCCAGAACCACCTGAGAAATCATTTAATAATGAAATAAGTCCGAATATAAAATTTCCAACACATGTAAAAATTTATCGTACTATAAATACATTTAAAATTTTAGCTTTAATTCTTTATGTAGTTCTCTGGATATATAAGATAATTTATAATGCTGTTAAAATTTCTTCCGATCCCTCATTTGCAAATTTGCCTTATCCCATTTATTATAATCCATCTGCTTCATATGGTGGTGCTATAATCATGACTCTTGTATTCACTTTATCGATTATTTTTCTTGTAATAGAATTTGCTTATCTTTTTCTTACATATAGACAACTCTTTATTACGAAAAGCCACGCTATTGTATCTTTATTAATATTTTTCATTTACCTTGCTTTTGCATTAGCTTTTAATATTGTTGTTGGTCTGGGTATATTAAATTCGGATATATATTCCGCTATGATTACTTTATTATGGATCATACCTCTTCTTTCATTATTAGAATTCTTTGCTGGTTATTCAGAATGGCCTATAATTGGAGAGTTTACAATTAGAGGTTTTATTAAGTTCTTAAAAGTTATATTAATATTCCTTTATTTAATTATTATTATTATCAAGTTAGTACGATTTAACCCAGGTTTAAATTCTTATTATATTAAAAATGCTTTAACTATTTCTATTGTCGGAATTATTAATTTGATTTTTGAAGCTATTCTTTTCGTTTTTCATAGATTTCAATTTTCTGAAAGTGTTTTAAAAATTGTAAAAAGAGTCATTTTTATGATATTTTTTTCTCTTTATTTTGGCACAGCTTTAGTTAATTGTTACATTTTAGAAAATACACAAACTATTTATTCTATTGCTGATGGATTA